TTAAAATGTACTATTGTCAAGTCTAGAACCATAGTTGGACTACAAATATACTACGTCTCTCTCTATATATATATATAAACATAAGAGTCTTAATAGTTGCTTTGTATAGCGAACATCTTCATAAGTAACGCATTAAGGTACCAATTGGTTACTAAAAAAGAACGGTGCCTTTATGCCTAATACAATCTTAGCCTTGACTCTTTTATCATTAAATGGACATTTTGTTTTGTATTTTTGCTAGTTTTTAAATTTAAAAAAGGAACAATTCAGGAGAGAGTAAATGCTAAATAAGTAGTAGATATCAATGATTTGAACTGAAATCTGTGGAAGCTTTGTCTCGACATTCGCGTAAGCAATAACTCCTTAACTTTTCGAGGAAAAAAACAAAATAGGCGATTACTATTTTGTTTTCATTGTTTTGAGACATCAATATTTATAAATGAAAACTGCTCTTATTAGTACTATATTTTAGGAGATGATGGCATCATAATTTTAGAATATGAATATCATATGAAGATGGTATAATGGTAAGCTATAGAAATGGTTTGTACAATGTTTTACGTGTTTCGGATGTTGCTTCAGAGTTGAAAGTAGGCCCTACGTCTTGGTGACCTGACAGAATAGCGCCGACAAAATAGCGCCGACAAAAAAGCGTGAAATTTCCCAACAAAATAGCGCGGACTTCTATATGATGTGTATAAAAGTACCGAATTTATGTAAGTCAAAGTCCTTGGGCAGCATTTTTGTTGCGATCTCTATCTTCTCTCCTAAAAATATAATGATTTTTAAATGTGGTAACCCTGTTCAAGGGTTAGGTATGATGATGTGTGTGTTACACATGTGTGCTATAGTATAATTAGAAATCTTTATTATCTGCGACATCTCTCTTTGATAAAACCAGGGCGAAATTAGGCGTGCCAGGATTAGTTAAGCTGGCTATCACTTATCTCGCCAAATTTTTGTTTAATCTCATTTGTTTTACCTGCCGATGTAAATACTGCGAAGATAACCCTTGGACAGTTGTTGTAGGGAATTTGTATGACTATTGGGAGGACAACTATATTGATCGCCAGAGACGAAACTGCATTATGGAATGCTAGAGATCCTGTACAGGACAATCTACCACGAACAAACAATTCAGTGGAGGGATGGCACCATGCATTTCAGCTGTCTATTGACAGTCGTCACCCTAATGTGTACAAGTTAATCACTCACTTCCTCAGAGAACAGGAGAACATTGAGAACAAGATTCTGAGGTAGAATGCTGGAGAACGAAGTAAAGCTGCAAGCAAGACAAAGTACCTTCAACTTAACAGACGACTTGAAGCTATATTGCTAATGTACGGAAACAAGTCAGTTATGGAATTCCTACGTGAATTTCCTACAATTTAACTTTTGTGAAAGCTTGTGTGTGTGTTGTATAAATCTGACAAGTATCTTAGCCTGTTTTCAAAGTACACTTTTGGAATGTAAATAAATGGTATATTTTGAAATTATTCATTTTAGCTTATTATAATTTTTGCTTACTGTTTGCATATTTACGTTTTAAGATATCCAAAGTGTTTCCTGCAAAATAACTGAAAAATAATGATAACATTAAAACAAAAAAAAAATATTGGCTCTATTCATATTTTACGATATCTAAAGTATTTTTTTCAAAATGGCTGAAATATATTTTTTTCTGCGCTATTTTGTCGGCGCTATTTTGTTCGCGCTATTTTGTTGGGGTACCCTACTTCTTAGTACAAACCTACCGCAAGACGACGGGGGTGGCAGCGGGCAGGGTTTGAATCTGGGGCAATCGAGCTGACCGAACGACAGTCCAGCGCACAACCAGGCAGCCATCAGGACCGCATTAGGCATAGGCAAACTAGGCAGCCGCCTATGGCTTCCGATTGGTGGTAGTTTCGCACAGGACACATTTTTTTTTTTTTGTTGAGAAAAAAAATAAAACTTGGATCAAATCTCAAACATATCAGAGATTAATGGCTCTATAATAACTAGACTATTCACTTTGCCTAGGGTCTCTAATTATCTAAGGCCGGCCCAGCAAACATCCTATGGTATGGAGAAGGTATGATAGTACACATCCATATTATCTGCTCCTATGAGGCTTTATAGAATATAGATCATGTGAGTTTTAATTTTCCAAATTACACACCCTAACAAATGTCAAAATTGTTGAAATGCCTTAAGCTTATACCATCATTATTGGGGATAGATGATTTTGTCCGTTAAAAAGGGGAGATAATTTTTCATATTTTAAGAAGATCGTCGCCTAATTTATAACAAAGAATGAAAACAAGAAAATCTTAGTCAAAAATGGGTTTAAAAAAATACAAAAAACAACAACATTGTTTGTTTTATTCCACTGTTGTCAAGAGGTAACCAGGTAACAATATATTTTGTCTCAAGGCAAATTTCATTTGATTAAAACACTTGAGCATTAGTTTTCAGCCTTTTGAACGCTGCGACCCTTTTCACAAATCCCAACTCTGTACCACAGGTGTACTCCAGCTTAAATAATCTATCTCTTGCTACTTATGTTATAAAATAGTAATCAAAATGCAAATATTTGTTATCCATTGCCAAAGCTTTATGTTCACGAAAGAATAGATCCAAGTATTTATATTTTCTGTAATATAGGTCTGTATTTCTGACATTTCTGCTTATAATTAAATTGCAAAAAGATAAAATTGCATTTTTAAAACTTACAATAATGTACTTTTCTTTCACATGTTTTCATGCATGACAGAAAAGCTAAAAATAGCAAGATTTTTGGTGTATCCGGTGTACAAATAAAGGTGCTGATAAGTCCTTGTGTTTGTAGCACAAAATAAATGCAATATGACTTTCATTATATGTCTTGTAACTTATTTAAAAACTAAATAGCGACAATGCAAGAAATTTAATACAAAAATCAATTGCGACGCATTGAGAGATTGTTACAATTATGGTTTAAATCTTTTTGATTTAGTTGGCAACAGTATAGTTTAATTGACCGTCCTTGACATTGTTTAGTTTAGCGTGATTATCTCCAATGCTTGTTGCATACTTATATGACAATTTTAAAAATACTAGGCAGAACAGTGATGACAGTTTGTGTAATTGTAAACAAGATTCTTCATTGCCACAGAATTGTAACGACAGTTTGTGCAGACATGTCATGAAGTCATCATTAATGCAAAGGCTGAGCTTATTTCTGCTTTACCAGATCCGGAATTCACAAAAGAAAAACAAATGTCATCTTCTCTGTCGTCTATTTCAGTTTTTAGACTTGAAAACTAACAGGCCTGTTTCGCAAAGATATTCTGCTGGAAATGAAAGAAGATGCACCATAATCTCAGTCAGAACGGGGTGTAACTTCAAACATGTGATCCAGATTTAGGTAAATGACATTGAAGAGAAATCATTTTTTGCTGCATTGTAAAAAAAAAATAGTATCTACCAACAGAAAAACTTAGTTACACGTTAGAATAGACAAAAAGCTCAATATTTCCGATTTCTGATGGTTTTAAGCGAACTCTGACCTGACCAATCATTTGACCCCCAAGGGATGCGCCGAACCGCTGCACTAGAAGTTAATGGGTGGGAAAGGTACAGCACAGAAAAGCTTTTGGGTATCAATGGGAAATAACAAAACAGAAAATGACAAACAAAGAGTTGCTGGTCATGGGAAATCTACAAAGAGAAAACATGCCAAATATCTGAAGGATATAAATTCCTAGAACTAGATCTAATGGTGGCGCTTCTCTGTGCTACGTATTCTTTTGGGATTTTACAAAAGGGTAAAAATTAACACACACAAAAAAAGCATATGCCCTGTGATGGTAATGGTGATGATCCTACAAAATGAATATGAAATGCGTGCACTGTTAATCTAAACTATGGCTCACCCTTATTCATGAGTTCAAACAATCCAACTATATCCGCTCGATGAATACCTACACCTTATATTACATGCATTACGATACAATAATATTCGTATCTATCAGTAGCCATACATAACTACTATTATTACTCATTCCTTTTTTTTTGTTGTGGGTTGTATCTTTCCAATTGCTATCTTCTGTAAAGTTATGTTATCATAACCTTTTCCTAGATGACCCAGGTAACATCTATCTGTAGGCCTACACAGTAACACAGATAACTAAACAATTAAAGTGCGTTTCTATAGGCCTTAAATCTGTCAGTGAAAGGCCTTGGATTTAATCTTCTGATTATGAGCCAGCATTAAAATACATTTTCCTTTAATTAACATTCGTTTTTGTTTTTTGTTTTTTAATATATATTTTTTTTTCTATTTTGACGTATGCCTAAAGCTAGGATAAAATGGAAACACATCGAAGCATGGAGCAACTTACAAAAAAATGTTTCCACCGGATCAAGCAACAAACAGGAAAAAATAATATCATATGGCTTTTAGAGATCTTCATATATGGAGGAAAAAAACAACAAAAATATAGCAACCTTTCTGGTGTATCCGGTGTATAAAATAAAGGAAGTGTTGATAAGCTATGTTTTTCAATTTACATGATAATTTCTTTGCACATTTTAGCATTGCAGAATCGCATTTTTTAAGCTTTACTGTTTGTGACTTTTATTTAGTTGGCAATTTTGAAGTTCAACTTAGTACCTCCCTTTTCATATTTAAAAAACAAAATACTTCTTATCGCAAAGAAAACAAAAGCTGTCTAGACAACGTACAAGAATAACCCACCATCTCTCTTGATATCTGGCTGAGAATGGCGGCTGACCAGGTGAGACAGTTGGTTTTGGAACTGTCACAGCACCCTTACCAGGAAAGTCAAGGGACAGATGATGGTGATGGTGATGATGATGATGATGAATTAATCAACTACTTGTTTAAGTTTTTTTTTATTGATTTAGTTGTTGTCATCTTCAATGAATAATTGTGCAAAGTTTCAAAGTGGGAGAAATATTGTGTACAAGATTCTGGCCAAACAGAGTGAGTTGATATAAGCTTTATAAATAGAATTAATTGTGCATATATAAGATAGGGACAGTTTCATTTTTTAAAATTGCCATCAATTTTGGACAACAAATTGCATGGTCTGCACCCACGATAGCGGTATAGTATAGTCAAATCAGTCCAAACCTTATCCGCCGCTATTCAGAAGCAGCCTACGTAGACTCCATTAAACTAAAACACTAATCTCCTACTCTATGGACCTATTAGGTCATTTGTGTATTAGTTTTTTTTTCACAACTTTGAAGACAAAAATATAATTTATTAACACGCTGTATGCATAGATCTCTTTAAAAAAAAGTATCGATATTTCATTAAAATTTAAAAAGGAGGGGGTAACCTAGTTTTCAGAAAGCCAGTTGAGGAAACCGTTGCCTGAAGTCGAGTAATCTACCATGGTACAAGCCACAAGAGATGATGTTTTCAATTTTTTTTTAAATTAGTGCTTATTGTCTAGTTTTAGCGATCTAAACGGGAAAAACACACACAGATACTAAAAGCGGCTTCCCCCCCCCCCCCCCCCCCCCCCAACCAAGTATCGCTAAAACTAAACAAAAATGTATGGGTTTGGTTTTGTATAGACTAAATCAGTGTTTAGTGTTTACAATGATGATGTATTATGTCTAGATCTACAAGAGTCGCAGGGCAGAGGTGTGGTGAGCACAACGTGCGCCAGGGGCAAGGTACTTTATTGGCGCCCCCCCCCCCTTTCCTACATTTTCCATGAACATTTTAACATAGAAATATAGGCTGAAGGTGGCACCTAGGACATCGTGCTCCCCCTTCCCAACTCACCACGTCTTTGACAAGAGGTATCTGTTTTATTTACTGTTTCTACACGATGTAGCGATGATATATAAGGAATTATATTTGCGGTCTAGAGCAGGAGTCGGCAACCTTTGAGTCGAAAGAGCCAAAAATTACAATTTACACAATTTTAAAGCTATTAAAGAGCAACACATTTTTTCTTGCAAAATAAATAGTACTCGCACAATTATTTTTTTTACTGAAAAAAGAAAAAGAACGAATCTATTTATTTATTATAAGTAGTGTTTTTCACAACAAATTAATATTATATTTATATATGGCATTATTACATGATTATTCTTTAATTCGGTAACAACTAAAGTAACTTGTACTTCAATAACAAACAGTTGAGCAAACAAATTCAATAGGAGCGTTTGCTTTGCATAGTTTTAGAAAGTTTGGATACATTTGGTTCATAACTTTGTTGTTTTTAGTTTCAAACACGACTCTAAATTTTCAATTGTTAGTTGGCTTCTTACTTTTCTTTTAATTATATTCATGAAAACAAAATCGCTTTCTGGCACGAAACTCCAACTCTTCCAACTTGCTTTTCAACTCTGTAAATTTTCCACCCCACAAAGCTTTACTTTTTTAATCGACAAATTGTATCTCTAGAGATCTAGTATCAACTCCAAATGGATCCATTTGGATTTCGTAACTATTGGTGTTGAGAAGATTTACTAGAAATGCTAGAATGGCTTTGTTGGTTTTGAACTGCTCAAATCTTTCAAGAAATTAATCTTTGATTTTCTAACTGTGTTAAAGTAATTCGTGTCAAAGTGGCTCTGATTTTATTGCAATACTGCTTTAGACATTGAAGATGAAGTAAATTACAGCTCTAAATTTCTTCTGCAAAAAGAATTAATTTTTTTCAGAACGAACCAATTTCTCTACGAAAACATAGGATGGCTTTCCCTTTCCTTGCAGTTTTAGATTCAGATCATTGAATTTCTCTGATATACCAACCATAAAATAAAATGTTTGGAACTATTTGTCGTTCTCTAATACTGGGAGATTAATGCCTTTATTATTTAGGAATGTATTTATTTCATTCAAGCACAAAGCAAAATCTTTCAATCTTTGTAAAGCCAATACACTTTATTGTAAAGAAAGAGGCGGAATACTGAGTCTCCATTTCGTTAAACAATTCTCTAAACTGACGATGGTAGAGTGCTTTCAACAAGATACAGTTAACAACCTTGATTTTCAAATTCATTACTTCAACTATTTCGGTCTGAATAGTTTTGGGCACAAAGCGCTTCTTCTATTTTTCAGTGAAACGCAAAAATTTCATGATTTATTTTTCTACGAAGAATCGTTAGTGCTCCCTTATTTGTTTCTGTCATACTTCTGGCTCCATCAGTTGCTATTTAAATGATTTTATTTAAATCGATATTAATGTCTTCAAGATACTTTTGCATGGCGTTCGCTCTATCTTCCCCTCTAGTTTGTCCCGAGAGCGGTAGCAGTCCTTGAAGTTTTTCTTTTGGACCTTGGAAAGACATATAGCTAACGAAATGGGCAACTTGTGCCGTGCCTTTAGTGTCATCTATAGCAAGTGATAAGACAGAAGAAAGTTGAATATATTCCACCTAAAAACATGTTACATTTGAAGACATTTTAGCTATTATGTCTTGTACTGTTTAGCGGATAGTGGAAAATCTTTTTTTTTTAAAGGTTTCTGGTTTGTTTTTAAAATCACGAAACAGTCCTTCGGAAGCACGTAAGAAGCAGCCTTTGACATACTCACCATATGTAAATGGTTTGCCTTTTGTGCAACTACTAGGGGTACTGCAAAGCTAGCCATATTAGCATTACTTGTAGATTGCTTCTAAGTTTGAGAAGATAATCGCTTCTAACTCATTTACTTGAAACAACAAAATTTACGTCACAGCCAAAGCACGTTGTGAAGACGCCAATTCGTTTTGCGTCGAAAGCGAATTGAAACCTTCATAGAAACATCCGACATTCAAGAGCTTCTGACGGACTGACAACAGTGACGATGCGTGTAATGAGGAAGGGATGTGATGAAAAGCGAGCACAGGTGTCTGATAGATAGAATCGGTGCCTAATCCTCGTTGAACGATTCAGAAGTATTTAAAATAAATAATATTTGCGTATGGAACTAAAGAGACGCAACTTCACACCCAAAGAGCCGTATGTGGTTCGCGAGCCGCAGGTTGCCGATCCCGGGTCTAGAGGTAGACTGGACTCCATTGCCTTGGTCGGCAGACAGTCTAGGAAAATTAAAGGATTTCAAAACTCCAAAATAAAATCTACAGGCATCAGCTGTCCACAGCCGTCTCAGACTACTGAGCCACTGTGGTCAACATTTGTCCCAAAAAGTACCGTGGTTTTGGTCTGCACTATCTACATTCTTCTATAAAATAACCTAGCGCAGGCTATAATATATATATTATATATAAGATCTATTTTCACAATTAAAAAAGTAGGTAATGTAATGTATTGCTCTATTAAAACAACTTTTGTGTGTTTGTTGAAATAGGATTGGCTAGTTGCTACTACTGATTTGTAAAATTAAAAAATAGACTGTAGATCTAGACCTAGACGTAAACCGTGTGTATCTTTATCAGTATGTATTACAAATTGATTGAAATAGAATATTTTGATCTATTTATTATAAGTTATTTCTATTCTGCAAAATTATTTCTAGTAGTCGTAGATCTAGATCTACTTAGACTTAGAATTTCTTGTGTAACATAGATCTGCTTTACATAGGCATATTTTTGTTTCCGGGTGACCTAAATACCATTTTCGTTATTTTGTCATCTGTCGCCTTTTAGTAGTGTGTTATGTGTATTAAAATCCTTATAAGGCTGGGTCGAGTGATTCACTCCCTGGCAGCCAGTGTGTCGGAAGCTGAGCTAAATAGATCTCTACAAGACAAATCGGTGAAACAAATATTTAAGACCTAATAAACTAATATTGTAATAAAACATAATAATAATATGATTTAGTTTTTAGTATCTAATTAATATTAAATTTTATTAATTAGTGATTTAGACAATTTAGGTTAGTCTTTAGTAGAATTAGAAATATTAGTAATATATTATATATCATGTATTATATAATATATTGATATAATTATAATATAATTCTATATAATAGTATATTATAATCATAGTTACATAGTATCATATCATGACATATGTGATGATATGTGATATTATATGTCTGTGTAAAAATAAAATATGTAATATTAAATATAATATATATAGATTATAGATCTAGATTGATCTAATTCTAATTAAAGGGAAACTCTGATAGTTTTTCAAATTTTAGTTATTGACATATTTAAATTCTGCGTAAAAAGTTGTAATAGTAAACATTATATCATTTTTTATTTAAATGCTCAGAAAATTTTATATTTAATAAACTAGACAGAAAATTCTTCACATCTAAAAAAAAAACGGGGTTCTGTGAGATGTTTATAGTTTTATAAGACGTCACGTCACAACTGCGTTGGCTAAATTTAGATCTAGACCTATATAACCGATAAACTATCTAGATCTATCGGATCGCATTTATTGTTACTCTTCACAGCTAGATGTAGTCTCCACATTGATTTATAATCGGTCATTGTTTATAAATAATATTCTAGATCTAAACCTCTATTTCTACTTGAAGAAAATGAAATACTGTTCTTCAACTTGTTGCAGTAGTTCCAATCACAAAGATAAAATCAGCAAGTATGCTGATACAGAAATTAGTGTCTCTTTTCATTTGTTTCCAAGAAATGAAGTTTTAAAGGGAAAATGGGAAAAATTTATTCGCCTGAAGAGCAAATATTTTACAAAGGCATAAGCTAATTCCTGTTTATGCTCATACCATTTTGAGAGAAGCTGTTTCAGCAACTTCATTGTTGTGTAAATGGGATTTGAAAAAAATTGAAGTTAATACCAGGTGCAGTACCAACAATATATTTGATTTCCAGGCCAAAGAATTCAATTAATGATACTACTGAGACATTTTAAACAACTGAAGTTCATAAATATAAATGAAATCAGATTTGTGAGCTAGAAATTTACTACGAATACTAGATCTACTATTAAATTTCTTATTTAATAAGTATAAATCTATCGTCTACGAAACTCAATTTCAACTTTTGATCTTGAGGGTGTGTCTCGCCGGCTGACCCAGCGACAAGCTCTCTCATCGCTTTTTCCATGTCAACCAATGTTAGGTCAAAACAGCACAAAAAAATCATAACTTTCTTACTGTCAAACATACAGTCATAATTTATACACCATTAGAAATTTCTTTTAAAGTATTTTAATGATGTACTAATGAATTTTTTTTTATCAAAGATATTTTTTTTTTCGCATCCCTATCTATAGGATTTAAGTGCACACTCGTGGAGTCATACAGAAATTCAGTGAAAATCTGATCGTTTTGGATGTGCAGAAAAATTATGTCACAAAAATATCAATTACTAAGTTATTCTTGCAAATAAAAAAAAAAGAATAATATATTCATTATTTATAAATCAAAACACATATTATATCAAAAATTGTCAAAACCATCAGAGTTTCCCTTTAATCTAAAATTGTCAAGAATCTATATTATATTAATTATTATTATTATATTTTAAATTTATTAGTTAGTCTTATAATAATAAAGTAGTTTAGAATTAGAGATAGATACATAAACTTATATACCATTATCAATGATTAACAATAACATGATCTGAGACTGAGATCTATGGACTATTATATAAAGTATAAAAAGTATTTTATAAATTAAATTAAGTCAGTTAGCTGTCAGTAACAGTGTATATTAAAGGTATAGTTATAGTATAAATTTACTATTTTTTGGTTTAGATCAAGGTCTAGACTTTAGACTAAAATTTAGAATCTAGTTTTATTGCTTTCTTTAGAATCTAGGACTAGATCTATATTTTTTCAACATCAACTGTAGACACTGTAGTTGTGATATAACTTTCTACTGCTATCTACTAGCTAGATCATCACTAGAGAGTAGTTATGTTTATAGTGATATCATATAGACATAGATGATAAATCTAGAAAAAAAAGTCTTTATAAATACTTTATCATCACCATCATCCTCATGGAACGTAGGGCCTCAGTAAAAACACGGCACTCTCCACAGTCTCTTGCTATTTTTTTTAATGGCTTCACAGCTTTTTCCTTCCTCTCTGCTTCATCTAGTACACTGTGTCACTATGTCCTTTTTTTTTCGTCTTCCTCTGCGTTTTGTGCCCTGGGGGTTCTACTCTAAGACCTGTCTAGCTCTGTTGTAGGTATCTTTTCTAAGGGTTTGACCCATCCATCTCCACTTTCTTTCTAAGATCTGCACCTCTATATTTCTTTATACTTCATAGATATTGATAAAATATAATTTATAACTGTTTT